AGTGCGATCGTGGGCAACTCAGGGTGAAACCTCTCGAGCTGCTAAGCCTCAAAAGGCAGCCTGGATTGGCCGGTAGCAGGAGAAACTTTGGAACGGATTTGGGAGTCAATATATACAATATCGGAATCATGGCACCACATGAAGAACCTCCAAGTGACAGCCCAGTCAAGAGCTAAGTTCTGCGACCACATGTCTACCTGGTTCTTCAGTTCTAAAAGTTCTAACCGTGCAACAATTATGCCTTTTCATCTATGAAACCAGCCAAGGTTGGCAGAAGTCATGCAATGTTTTGCGTATAGCCGTATAGTTGGAAGATCTAGTATAAATACAGTGGGCCTTCGCCGGGACAATCTATAAGTCGTCTGCCTATGTCTGCGTGGAACTGCTGCCCAAGCAAACTAGAGAAACCGGAGAAAACAACAAAATTGGCATTGGTCTTCTTGCCGCTCGGGGGGAGTCAAACTCCATTGTTTGAGGCCAACAATGATATGAAGCTCTCAGCAAGCGTTTTAGATGTCTTAGTGGGATCCCTTTAAATCCATGATTTCTCCAGCTGGATCGTTTGAACAGGGGTATACTCGTTGGTTTGCGCAAGGCCTAATTCTGATCAACACAAATGAGGGGGTTGTGGCCACCCTTGTTGCGAGAAGACTCTTGCAAATCTGCTGTTGCCTGGGTCTTTGATACAAGATCCCTTTCCAACCACCAAACCTTTCCCGAATCACCGCTTGCCATGTCCATGAGATATAGGTCTGTTATGATGCGATGGGTCCCAAAAAGAAACACGCCAAAACCCCACAAACCAGGTCCAGGGCCAGACCGGGCCGGAGAAGAACAGAACCACCGCCCCAGTTCGACCCAGTCCACTTCCCTCTGAAATCGCTGCGCCCGAACGACGCCACGTACGACTGTCCGAACGACAGAGTCCCAGTCCACCAGTGCGACCGGGCTCCGAGCGGTGAAAAGACGGTCCACCGCGCTTCACCGTTCTCCGGATGTGTGGACGCCTCAACGTGAAGCGCTCACATCGTGAAAGCTCGTCACGACCTGGGCGAACACTCCGCGCAGGGGAAGATGAACAGAAGCGAAAACCTCGCCCTCCAGATCACCACTCTGCGGCTTGATCTACGTCGTAATGCGGAAAAACACGTCGACGTTGTGTTGTTTTTTGCGTTCTGTGTTTGTTTTTTTGGCAGGCCATGACGATGATCACACGATCGATCCAGTTGAGGGAGCGCACATCAATTTCGGATCGTCGATCCGCGTGAGAGAACCGGATGCGGTCGGCCCCGGCTGCGTGAAAACAGCCCGACCGGTCCTGTCTGGGTATGTCAAAGGATTGGGCGTCTTCCTCCGACCTCGTGTGGTGGTATATGCAGTCCCATGCATGGTCTGGGAAAGCAAGTACCCGGGCACTCATGGTAACGACGAACGACCCTCCGTGCGCACGACCCGAACCGCTTCAGCCAGTGTCTCCGTTCGACCCGTAGCTCACCCGGTACCGACCGAAGGGTCGACCCGTCTGCCGAGGTCTCCGGGCATCCTGGAAGAGCCTTCGGTAATCCACGGCGTTCAGGTCGGCGTCGGGATGGAGATACAAGATCACTCGTTCCACCTCGATGTGATGTGGAGGAGGGAAGGAGATGTGATGTGGAGGAGGGAAGGAAAACGAAGCAATAACACCGTTTCTTGCAGCTGCAGGTCGATGATTCTGCACTTCTGAAACCAGGCCGATGTTTAGACAGATTCTATTAGATTCTCATCACCCGACTGCCCTTTGGGCCACATCAATTCAGGGTGGTGAAGGTTCGAACTGGCAAGCATACGAGTGGATGAACGGACAATCGGGTACATACCAATGACGTGCTAGTGCCAGGAATAGGTCACCACGGACATCTGAAAAAAAGAGAGAGGTATGGATCGATAGGTTCTGTTTTTGGTGGTTTTCATGTATAGGCAGATCATATTTACTTACGTACATGGATCCTCTGGGTCTATCTCTTGATGATCTTTCTACCTTAAATGGTTTCCATGACCTGGACAAGCCGCTTGGCAGGCATGATGGTGCATGACGGTGCAGGATTGTGAACCAAATGAAACATGGACCTTTAACTATGAAATCACTTGCAAGGCGTCGACGTGTCACGTCTACGTCTACGAATCTACGTCCAAGACTTCGTCTACGACCAGTGGCATCCTCCAAATGGAACGGATGACCAACATGTTCCAAGGCTTTCTTGATCTGCTCAGACGTCACATAGTCCTGGGCCAAAGGGTTCAGTGAAACACCCGACCTAAACGGCTAACACAAATACGATCCTTCTTATCCCAGTGTGGCAGGACCTTTAAGAAGCCTACATGAAACGATCCAAGCATGAAAGACAACGAGATGCACGCACTACATCACTACCCTACTCCGCCCCTACTCGTGAAACCCAACAAACCATTCTGCTGGGAACGATCGAAGCACACAGCAAACCAGACACGTCCTCATGGGTAATGTGCTGCATTTCTTTCAGAATCCGGATCACGAAGCCATGCCTGGGCAGGTCCGTGACCGTGCTTGAATGGCGGGAAATCGTGATGTTGACAGAAGCCGTGTGGGCTGGAAAAGACCCAGCTACGCGAGGTCTGGACCCTCCGTTCAGTAGGGGGACCCAAATCGGGGCCCGAACCAATCCCGGTTTTGAGGGATCGGGAAAGGCCTGTGAACAGAGCGTCTGAGACTGGATTGACCATATAAATAGTTTAACCACTAGTTTAACCCTATTCAACCACCCCAATGTAGATGCCATACATGGGTTGTCTGTCTGGGCTGTTTGTCTTTTTGTGTGTGTTGCACTTTTCATAGACCAAGCTGCTTCTTGTAGAGCACATCGCCCAATTCCCGGACGGCTTTGCGCACCTGCAGGTGGAAAAGGAAGCGCACACGATCGAGAGAAACCGCAACTAAAAGTGAAGAACATCTCAAGAATCGCTACTTACCAGAACAAGGGGTGAAGAACAAGGGACTATCATCTCAAAAAATGAAGAGCAAAGGGTGTGTCCAACTAACACCTTAGTGCACTGAAACTACTTGGGCCACCCCCCAGCTAGCGAGTCTCGGAAGTCACGCCCTGAGGAGTTCCTCGAAAAAAAAGGCTGCTCGGTGTGGCCTGAGTGGTTTCTGCTCTCTCAGCTGTCTTTGCAGAGGCACGCGTGGCATAGGCCTCATCGTGCTTCTCCTAAGCGAAAAGGGTCGGTGGCAGGTTCCACCCGATGAGTCCGGGACGAGAAAGGAAAAGGCATGAAGAAAAGGTATGCAACATGGTGAAAAAGTGTATGACATGGTCGAAAACTCGGAAAGGGCAGGTACTTTCAGATACTTTGCTTGAAGGTAAACGCAATGAAAAAAACAAATACATCTTGCAAACGCAAACGTTGCCAGCTACAGTTCTATAGTGGGCCCTTTCTTACGCACACTGCCTTGAAATGGGACTTGCCTGGCGTCTTGGAAGACCATTCTTCCAGGACCTCATGTGCTGCAGCTGAGCCATATTGACTCCATCAGGCTCGCCATCCAGTCAGAATCAACCAGGGGGACCGACCGGTTGACCACCCAAGACTGAACAGAATAGACTGAATAAACGACCTCAACAGGTGAAGCAACCAGGCTGTGCTTTCGGTTTTGACTGGCACCCTGAGTCCCACCTCTACACCGGGTCGACCAAGTCGTCGACTGGTCGTCTACACCTCTACACCTCGCTCGTCCAAGGCTCATCCAGGGGATTCTGGGTCTGCAACATGCCGGTGGTCCAATCAGGATCCAGCCTCGACTGGCGGACGTCTTCGTCTTCGTCTTGACGTGGGATTGGACTTGCGCGGACTGACTTGGGGTGATTCGAGGTAGATTGGGTGAGGGTGATTTTCACCCTTCCTGTTTCTTATATGTACTCCTTTCAACGTTGATGGTTCTTCATGGTATGTGCCAAAGACATCAGAAACGCTTCTCCCCTTTTGCCCTTCGGTTCTTCTTGGCTAGCAAGTTCATGTCCTATTTCACTCAGTCTCTGACCCAGCTTGACAAAAATCCAACGATGATCACACTTTCACTTGATCGATTCACTGATCGATGATCCCCCTAGTGGCCCAAGGACGACTATCAATGACTCGAAGAAGCTTTCCATACCTTCCCTATCATTCCATTCGAACTGGGCACATTAAAGGAACATTCTAGACAAACTATGCACGAAGTAAAAGACTCATGCAGCCTGAAAGTCACTGAAACATAGATATATATACAAACTTCTCCTGGACTTCCAGGCTACATTTCGTCTACGCCGACGCCAAACCCGCGACCTGGAGCGACCCCAAGGGGCCACTGCGGGACTCAACGAGTCGAGTGATGCTTGTTTTCCGAGTCTATTCCAAGAAGCATGGGTTCAATTGGGTTCAATGGTCGACCTACCAGTTCGAACCATGTGTTGATTCAGGATGGTCGATGATTCAGAAGCCAACAAAAACCATCAAAAACCGGTTTGCACCATGTTTTTCTTGTTGTCTTCACATGTCTTCACCGAAGGCGAACGGAAACTGAGGTTCAAATTGCCCCACGATCGTTGCTGTCGGCTGTTCCGAGGCATGTCGTCGCTGTGTCGCTGACCGAAGGGGAGGCCTTTCAGAACAGTGTCATGTTTGACCAACTCATACATACCAGCACACCACCCAAAGGGTGGTGTATAGACCCCTCCTGAAGATGTATTTGCTATCCAATAACCACCTTTGGGTGGTGCTGGTAGAATCCTCTCATTTTTGAGGTATAGTCCCCCAATACACCCAGCTTCTTGAACGGCTTTTTCCACAAGAAACATCCTTGCTAATTCTTGTTCTTCAACCAAAGGTAATCCTCCTGAAACCACTTTCGGCCTCTTTCTTCTCCTCGCTAAGAAGGTACCACCGGCAGAAAAATACCCGACCCCTGGGATTCCAACAACTGTTGTTGCCTACCTCAGGATTCTGCTCTAATCCTCAGAATCTGCGAGACCCCAATTCGCCGGCCCAAGGGGCAAGGCGTCGCAGAACTCGTTGTAGCTCACCTGGCCGTCCCTGCGCGAATCGAAGTGCCTCATGATCTTCAAGACGTCCTGGCCGTCGTTTCTGAAGTTCGAAGGGCAGAAGATTGCCCCTGGCTTGCCTTGGGTTTTTTGGACTGTCCGTGAGGGGTCTTTTGGCTGATCTATATATATACACGCTATAATACTGGTCCACTAGGTCAACCTGGTCCTGGTTCTTCCGTTCGTGACTCATGCTTCGGTGAGTCCAACGGCGGCCGTAGGACTGGGGTAGACGGGACTCCCAAGGTTGGGTCGAACTGAAGAGTTGGGCCACGCGTGGCATCTCTTCAACTCCGCCCCAAACACTGCCACGTCTCACATCTCACATCACACCTCTGAAGACGTGCCTGACTTGTGTGAACGGGTCCACGAAGAAAAACGGACTGCCCATCGGTCGATGCGACCCGCGAAAATGCTCCATAGATCGGGGGATGTGAAGTTCACAAGTCCGCCAGTTCGTTGATTCTACACACTTGCTTCAAGGGTGTTCAAGTGGGTCAAGAATAAAATGCTGCGGGCAAACCGCATCGAAGGCAGCTTTTGCTTGGGGTGTTGCCAAGAGACCTCTTCACCCTTAAAGGAAGACCATCTTCCGAATTCCAAGCAGTGTGGGTGTGGGTTTCGTCTCGAATTTTCCCCATCCCCATGTGAGGAGACGTCTTTTCCGCGTGCCTGGAGCGACCAAAACAGCCACACGGAGTCATCCACACGCTTCACCCACTGCATATGCAACTCCAAATCAACTCGCAGCGTGACGCTCCAAACACCACCCAGGCTCCACAACACCCCGTGCACTCCGAGTACGCAGCACGGGACCGTCAAGCGGCGAGCGCCAACGGCGAGCGCCAACCTCTGGGCCCAGTTGGAATCCAAACTTCTCCAGGGCTTGCTGGAACTCGGACACCGTGAGAACCTGGACCGTTGCTGAACTCCGCGCGTTGCAAGCACGGACGTGACGAATCCGAGTGCTGAGTGCGTGCGGCTGAGTGCGGAGTGATCCGATCAACGCCCCTCCCGGCACACCTCCTTTCAACGCTACAGACATGGGGTTTTTGGTTAAGTACAGGAGACGTGGTATGATTTACTCCAGAAGTCCAGGTACCAGTGGTAATCATGATTAAAGCTGTTGTTTCGAACCCAGACACGACTAATGGGACTGCCATAGGACTGCCGCCCCATTGACTAAAGTGGTTTTGGGGGTCAATGGGGCGGCATATAAGGCAGTTCCATTATATAGTCGTATCTGGGTAATGCATGTTGTTCCAGCATGGCATCAGAGTTTGGAAAACCAAAGACCAAACTAAAACCAAAGAGTTTTCCAAACCATAAGAGTTTTCCACCATGGATTTTTTGTTCCATAACAATTGAAAACCAAAGACCCACCTTGAATCCACCATGAGTGGGATGGAAGCGTCCGGCTTCAATGTCTTCGAGGACGTCATCCAGTTGGATTTATCACTCTTAAAATTATCTCCAAAATGCTTCTCCTCATGTGCTTGACCAAATGATCCTTCTCGAAATAACGTGGACAAATGATGAAACATGGAACGCATGGAATGCATGGAACGCAAATTTGCGCATCCCTACAGCTCCAGTCTGATCCAGGTCCAAACCTAGTCCAGAACACCTCATTGAGAGTAATGTGTCTTGGTTTGATCAACTTCAGCA